ATTCCATAACAACCTGAACGGCATACGAAAGAACAAAATGAAGGCCTTCTTTCCTCGTACAATGCACCTAAGACGACAAGTTAAAGTCAAGGCCGAGGGCGCGAAATGCTTGAATGGATGAAACTCATATAAGTTATCTCACAATTAACCATAGAAACGTCCGGCTGTACATTGAGGTTTGTTAGCAATGAAGCGTGATATCAGCTGATTATCGCTATCAACCTTTCATTGATTTGATTAGCTTCATTACTAATAGACCGCTCACGGGTAAGTAACTGCCCAGAAGCGTTACTGTAGTCGACTGTAACTCTGCATATGAAAACTTCGCTTAATTACTCTAGCTCATAGTATCATCAAAGTTCCATAAAGCCATTTACTGCAGGCTAATCATTTCCTGCTCTTCTCTACGCCTTGCTGATCTGGCTGTGTGCAAGAGTACCTCTCCGGCAGTTACCTTTCCTACCTGGCAGCTTGCTAATACAACTCCAACACTGTAGTTTACAAATTTCACAAACATAAAGGTGTACAAGCATTTAAAGAGACATACATGCCATTATGTACCAAATATTTACATAGGAAGAGGAGTGGTGCTTTAGATTTTTTTGAGAAGAGATTTTGCACTAGTCATAAAGCTCAAATTGCTACATTGTCATTACAAATTTTGTAGCAGAGATTGACATTTGAGGATATTATGTTTACAAGCCCCTCAATCACGCATTTTCAATTAACGTGTAAGTCAGAAGAGTGCTCACGTTAGATGGCAGACTTTTAAAATCTTATGCCATTTACAGGCGTGCAATTGTATGTGCGTAATAATGCGGCCAGAGAAATTTTTTTTTGTAGAAAGCACGTGAGAAAAGAAAAAGTAAAAAATCTCTTGAAGTTTGCAGAAATAATATTGAGTGTCGGTAAGTATGAAATATTCATTTTATTCAGTTTTGCTTCAAATATAGGATGAGGACTGGCCGCCATTACTCTTGCGCGTTTTAGAAAAAATTTATAAAAATGATATTCTGAGGAGAATCTATAAACCAATTAACATTCACTGATGTTTTTTAAAAACACTATTGAAACACTTTATACACCACTGAAAGTACAAAAAAAAACATATATTCGCTTCTGATAACGATGGAATGATCATGAAACTATGTTGAGATATGTACGTATTTACAGAAAAAGTCAGAAGAGGCAATTCTATCGATATGTGAGATGATTCACGAAGTCAATCGCTGCTTATGACTATTTCACCTTAACGCCTTGCTTGATCCATTTCTCCTTTTGATTCAACGCTTGCACCTCTTTACCAGATTTCTCATGGACAAGCACTCTGAAGGTGGAAGGGAACAGCCAGGCAGCATCATTTGTGAGCCTTAAATTCGGCATCTGCTGGATTTGAGGGAAAAGGTAGATAACAGTAACGTCTACTAACCTGAGGTGATAGTAACCCGTACGGGTAGCGTCTTGATTATAAAGGTCGATTGCAGGAAGAGCACATTTCTGTATGGGTGGCAACAGAGCTTCATATTCTTCCTCGGGTGTTGTCTGGAGTATAGCGCAATTTACATCAACAAATTATTGTTTCCAGAATCCTTTTTGAGAAGAAATTTGAGTTTTGATTGCTCTCTAACCGGAATTCATGTTTCTAGTAAAGGAGAGCTATGTTCTAGAGGCAATGCCCCAATCCAAAATTAGAAATAGAATAAATCCCTGCAAAACCTTTGGGCTAGACTTTCCAAGACTTGATCATGGCCCAAACGGATTTGAGGATCTCGACAATAAACCGGAAAAGATGGGGAGAGGTTCCATCCTTTGTTGGATGAGGTCTTGCGAAGTGAGGTCAAGCAACGCTTTCGAGTCGCTGACCAGTCGTCAGCGGCAATAACTGGTTTAGTCTCAGCTGACGCAAAAATTGACAAAAAACTTATTTTCTGGTACAAATGCTCTTGGA